TTCCTTAGGCTTCTCACCATCATTTGTCTGAGCCTTCTCAGGTTCCTCAGGCTTCTCACCATCAGTTGTCTGAGCCTTCTCAGGTTCAGGCTTCTCACCATCCTCTGCGTCCAGATCAATCACTGGGCGCACGTCTAGTTCAAAAGGAACTTGGCTGTCTTCATTTGCGAAAGGCGAAGCAGGCTTGCCAACACCAATCTCAGCAGCCTCAGCAGAATGATTGCCCGTGTTTGGACTTTCCTGGACTGTCGGATTGGCAGTTTGAGAAGCTGCTGGCTCTCCAGCTGGCGGTGTGGGTGGCTCCTTCGGGTCTTGCTCTTGGAAAGGTGGCGGCAAGCCAGCCTTTGCCAATCTTGTTTCTCGGCTCATGGGTTCAGGAAGCTTCGGATAGCTGGCAGAATCCAATAATGGCAAGAGCCTCATTTTGATCCCGCTTTGAATCTCCTCAATTGAGCGCGTGTTCACTGATGCGCTCTCTGCAGACGCTGCCTTCGAAGCATTGGGCTGGAAAATGATCCGCAGCGGAAATTCAGTCACAGGAGGCCAGTGGTTCAAGCATCCAAAGGGGTTGAAAGAGTATTGTTGGCCTAAGCGGCCAAAAACCACCAAGTGCTCCAAAACATCTCCCATCCCAGACTCCTTCAGCACGTGCTGCAGATCATCAAGCCATTTCTCCGAATACTGGATGAAGAAGCCTAGGGCGTGGACCTCTTCCTGAATCTGGGGCGCTCCCTTCTTCTCCTCATCAGCCGGGCTATGCAACCACGCAGGTGAGGGAGTGTCTGGCAACTTCTCTCCATTCCATGTGTGGGACGGCTTGGGGATCTTGTCAGACTTCACCTCCACTCCCTCCATGATGTCCCAGTGCTGGGTATCCACATTGTCAAGACCTGATGTGGCAACATTATAATTATATACTAGCTAGTAAGTAAAACTTTTTCCTGCAAGTGAACAAAGTGGAGCTAGTACCGTGAAATCCAAGTTGAATTAATAAGTTGCACTTTGATTTGATGCCCTGAGGCTCCGACACTGGGCTGGAGGCTGGGGCGGTGCCGGTGCAGAATCTTGTTGTACTTGGGCAATTTTTTTCTTCAAGTCTTGTTCCATGGACCGAAGCTGCTGTAAGCGGAACAGTTTCTGGGTTTCATAGTGCAACTCTAAAGTCACTGACACGTGGCACGGGATTTCATGCAGGGTTTGAAAGTCCGGAGCTACCAAACCACACTGCACACATTCGAAACCTGTCGCCCCCATACGCAAATAGTGCCTCGCAATAGGCACTGGAGTCTCGGACAAGGTAGAAGAAACAGCCGACGGAGATGGAGACATACTGGAGCCTCGGTAAGGGCAAAGTTGGAAGCTGTATGCCCAGAAAACAGTAAAGTCAAGCCCATGCGAATGGTAGGACACAATGGATCCGAGGAACTTGGGCTGGGCGAGGGAAGAGCTGGTGCTTCTTTTTGAACCAGTCCTAGCGAAGAAAGGGCCCTGCAAACTGTATGCTCTGGAAGTTTGCCAGCCTCCAGGCTTCTTGACACTGGCTGCGTCGAGTTTGGCCCCAAGTTCAGTGGCAGGGTCCTGCAACAGGCGGTTGAAGGGTCAACAGCTAGGGCCGCTAGGGAAAGAAACAGGACCCTCTCCTGAGCAACGATTTCAACTTCAGGGTCTTCCTCCTTGACCTCTTCCTCTTCACCTTCCTCATCACCCGCATCATCAGTAGCGGTGGCCTCTACATCACCATCATCGGTTCCTGGAAAGTTTGGGGTGGGACACCATGGCCCCGTTTGGTGTGCCCAATAGTGGTTGCAAAGAGTGCATGTGTTCTAGACAGGTTATAGCTGTCATCAACTGTCCTTCTGGAAGCTCAATGTCTGCAAGAATGTAAAGATCTTTCATTGCTTGTTCACGGGGAATGTGGGGCCGACGGGCGCAGCGAGCGAAGATGGAAATGAGCCGCCGCAATGCCCATGCCTGAAGTTTGATATCAGAACCTCAGCTGGGTATAGGCTTTGAGATGGACCCTCCTACATACCCAAAATCTTTGACCCTCCTGTTATGGCCTTGGCCTAAGATTCGAGATTCGAGCATATCAAACTTGGCTGTGTGCTGCACTCAGTCGAGAAACCCTTCATTGGTTTTTTCAAGACATCCCGGCGCCGCCAAAAGAACTCCTCCACAATTGGGACAATTGCGCTCACAGAAGGTCTTGTTCCTAGGGTGGCAGTTGCAAGAGTAAAGGGGCAGAGTAACATAAGTACAGTAAACTACATTGTTCACACAATACTGCACGTTGTAACTACTAGTTGTGTCCGAGCTACCCAAGTGCTTCAGAACTGGTCCCACAATCTCCTTGTTCACAAGAAGGTCTTTCCGATTAAGCTCACCCGAGCCCGGAGCACGGAAGAAGACCAACTCACCGCCTCCAGCCCTCTCTCTTAACCACCTGGTTTCCTCCCACTCCCTGACCACAGGGTTCACTTCGGTCTGGGCCATGGCAACCTAGTGCAACAACCTAAGCACTACGTTGAGCCTTTCTTTGAACCACTGAGCTGACAAACGCTGTGCCACTTCTTGACAGCATCAGGTGCAAACACTCAGCTTCAGTCAAGCAGGGGTCACTGAGCTACTCCAAAGAAGAAGTGGCCCTTGCTTGTGCAGCATATGCAAAGCTAGTTCCAAGTTCCAACATGTTCCAACCAGGCCAGGGGCACCACAGCCAGCAGTCAAGATGGACGGACGGAGACAGAAAAGCTGCACCACTATGGCTGGACTCCGCTGGACCCGCCAAGTTGAAACAATATATTCATTGGTGAATACAGCTAGACATAGGCAAACTGATTGGCCTCCACTTGGGTTGCAACAGTCGGCTGTGCTCAACTGATGTTTCCTTTGACTCCCAGCCGCGGTCCGAGGTTCAATTGGCTTGGCGGTCTGCATGCGCACACTTCACACACATCACTGAGAGTCCCAACTAGCTAAGATCACAAAAGTGCTCGAATTTTGGATTTCTGCTCGAATCTTGAATCTTAGGTCGAGGCCAGAAAAACAGATACAAAAGCAGGAGGGTCAAAGATCTTAGGTACGTAGGAAGGTCCAGGTCTGTGAAATACCAAGTGTCTTTTGATTGCTCTGATCCTTGCAGGTGCCACACCTCCAGAATCCTCTGTTGCCTTCCCCTATCTAGATCAACCATCTTAAGCTCTTCGCTTGTTTTCGTTCTTTTCGTCTCCTTGGCCACGAAGAGTCAAAAAGGCTTCCAAGGCGGGGTTATGGCCCTTGAAGCCCCAATAAGAGCCTTGTACCGCATCTCGAGCGGTTTCTCTCTTCGACCCAACACCAGGGAAAACACCTCCGGCTGGTGTCTGGTGTCCCGTGGGTCGGGCGGGTTTAGTCGGGTCCGGACACCGGGTCCATAGTTTTGGGAGGCGACCGTGGGGTGGTGACCGTGGAGTTTTGGGGAGACCTTGTGAGACCGACAAAGGACCTGACACTGGTGAAGATGCAAGGCATGCCCTTGGCGCATGTGTTGAACATGCGTGTCCATTCTCGTTGTCAAGAACATGAAGATGGTGAAGGTCTCCAACTGAGACCTCCTTGAACTCTTTGATGGACCAAACATGAAGAACATTGAAAGACCATTAGCTTGAGGGACATCTGGCGATCCCCCTAGTGACTAGGGATCCAACATGATCCTCTCAAGAGGTGGTACTGGGCCGGTGGCTGACTCCACCATGTCTCACGAACAAGTTCCCCCCCAAAAAAAACTGGGCAAAACACCACCCTCTGCCTTCCTTCAGAACCATTAAAATTGGGTCACTTTTATCCTTTTGTTGGGCCTCTGAAGGCTCGAATGACCCAAAAGACCGGTCCTGTCTGATTAGCCTGCATGAGCCTGATCGCCCATGCTGAAAACCTCCGACTCCCGAGAACATGGAACTGGCCCAAGGAATGCAGGGAATACGGACAGGATTCCACAGGATGTTTGCAGGGACTTTCAGAAACGGTTCGATGGTTCCCTACCGCCCCCATACGTCCGGTCCGCAGGAGGGTACACTCCTTTCGTCGCATCGGAATCCCTTCGATCTCAAGTCGCCCGCCCGCCCCTTGTCGGATCGCCAGCCTTTTCGGTGAAGGGCCTTAAGGGGGATGCTCCGTTTTCAACATCCATTAAACTCCTGGTCTCTCTCAGCATTGCTCTGGCCATGCTAGACAATGCGGCGCCTGGATCGCTCCAGTCGTGCGTAATAAACTCCTGGTCTCTGCTGAAGATTTGCAAGTCTTCTCAAAAATGCCCAAGATCTTCCATAAAACCCCTCCCGTGCTCCCGTGCGGCCCCCAAAAGACAGGTGAGTCCGCGCGCTGAGCTGATGAAGCAAAAAGCCAGGCAACCTGGAGGTACTCCTTTGCCGAACTGTCCACCAGGCTTAAAGCGATACTTCTTTTCGTTGAAGCCCTTAAAGCGCCAACCAGCCACGTTCATGGCATCCTCAGTTGTCCACTGCCTTTTCCGGGAACCCTTTCTGGGCGGATCTGACTGACTGGTGGTGACTGAAGCACATGAAAACAGTCGCACGCTGCTTGGGGAAGGGTGATATCGATCATGAAACAGCAGGGGAATGCTTCAGCTTCCACTCAAATCGATCTCTGAAACTGGTGAATTGGATCTCTTGGACTTTCCTAGACTTGGGGCACCTGCCATGTGTGCCACTTCTTGGGAGTTGGGAAGCTTCTTCTGGTGATCACCGTGAGATTCGTAGCCCTTGTGGCCCACCATAGCTTGGACCCCGAAGAAGCGAGGTGTCTCACGAAGGATTTCAGACTACACGAGACCAGCTTAACTGAACTCTTTTTAAATCGTCTTCGAAGGCGAAGTGGCGCAAGCGCAATGCATCCGAACAAACCAAAATCAGTTTGAGGCCGAAAAGCAATGCTCTAATTCAAGGAACAACATGTCTGTCTACTAGCCAAAACCACTCCTGAAGAACACAAGTTCACAGCATCTTCAACAGCGCTTGAAAAACCATTTGAGTCAACCAGCTGAGGTCTTCCCCTTCTTCTCCCCTTCTTCTCAGAGCTTCGACGACTTCCGATCTCTCTCCGATCTCAACCAGTTCTGGCCCTCTGCGATCCAACCCACCCTCCAACCGACCCTCCAACCGACCTCCGGTCCCTTGAAAGCCCGGGGGTCGATGCTGGAGAAGTCGTTCACCTCGGCGAACGGAGAGTGGGTGGAGACGTTGAGACGAAAACGGAGAGTGGGTGTGCCCCCCAAATAGGTATGACTAGAGAACACCTATGGGAATTTATAGAGGTGAAGCAACAAACATCCCCACCTTGGCCAGGCCCCAAAACTGACATGACATGAAAACTCCACTCAACTGGTTGAAGAACAAATGGTCAGTCTGTTCCGAAGATGTAGACTGACCCAAGCACGCGGCTTAGTCGAACATACATAGTGGAACCAGGGATTGGGGGAGGATATCCTCCCAGCTCTTGAACACTTACAACTTTGTTCATGAACCACCCTGAAAAGCTACAAGTAAGTGAATTAGACTCCTGAAGCTATGGTTTTCTTTAACGACGTCGGCACCTGTGGATTTCTCGTTCAACAACGTCACCCCCCACAAAGAATATATGCAAGAAACGTCTCCAAGAGATGAAACAAACAAAGGGTTGGACCAATATGGACCGATGGACCCATTGGAGATAGTCTAATTAGCACAGGGTAGTCCCACCTCTTAGATCCTGGGTAGTAATCCACTTGTATCATCGAGGCTAAACGATGCACAGCCATTGCCATCGTGTAATGTCCTCCCAACGGCCTGGCCGACACTGTGGGTGGTGGATGGTTGTGGTCCGGTCAAGAATTCGGATCCAGCAAAAAACTTCCTGCCTTCTAGTAATTCTAGTATAAACAAATAGAAGTCACCTCACCAATGACGCACATATATTTCGGGTTTAAACAATATTATATCCCATTGCCAGCAACAGTGGATGATCATGGTTTGTAGAGGCCTTTCTCAAAACTAGCGATAGTCTTTTACCGACTGTTGCCGATAAACGGACACACTCCACACATATACCCTGGGATTCCAACAACCATTGTTTAATTGTCTTTACCCAACAACCATTGTTTTACTAAGGATTTAAACTTCCAAACAAATCAACCATTCATTTCATGGTGCTTGAAGGCTAGGGATGGCGAGGGTCTATACACATTAAACATCACATTTATGTCATGTTTTTATGTCGTGGCCCAACTCACCCCGGGTTTTCACATGTCCATCCTCCTTGTGTCCGGCGAAACTGGACGGGGCACGTTGCTGCCTTCACAGTCGAGATTGGCAAACTTCTCCACATGGGCACCACACACAAAGTGCACCTCCGAGATGATCAAGACCTAAATCGGGCCATTTCAAAACAATTTCACAACAAACACCTCCAGATTCCAGCCACCTTGGCCCACAGGCAGTTCTGTTTGAGACCCAACAACCGGCTCTGGTCGGCGGGAAAAAGAGAGAGCCGCCCTGGATGGGATGGGGTTTGGAGGTTCTGGAGGCACCGCGAACATGGACGTCGGGGTTTCGTGGAACGCCTCGAGCCTCTCTCGAGCCTCTCTCGAGCTGCTCGATCCTCGCTCCGCCCGATGTATTGCTCGAAGGCACTGCAGTGTTGTACTCTCCAAAGGTCAACGTGTCTCCGTCGTTGAAGTGAATCTCTTTATAATGACCTCGGACCGGTCAGGCCCAATTAATTTCTAATAGACCATGGCTATTGTAAAACTAATTGGCAAACGTGAATAGATTAATGGCTTTTTACCTTTCAATTTTATTTATGATGTAAAAAGCCATTATGACCTATAAAAATCTAAGATGAACATTGAAGGTGAACAGGCGGCAAAATTGATAGATTCCATGGCCGCGAATATAGGAAATCTCTTGACTAATTTTGCCAGATAATAAGAGAATAAAAAAATAGAATAGAGAACCCATGAATTTTAATTAGTAATCATGATACAATTAATGGGAAAGATCATAATACTATAAAAGCCATACCATCATAAACAAGAAATACCATGGATGATCTGGCCTGCCGATACACCCTTTGGAATCGCATTTCAGATCTAATATTGGATGGTATTTCTTTTATTTCTAGCCAATTAGTTCATATAAAATCTCTTAATGGAATTAATTTGCTCATTCATATTATTTAGTTTATTCAATCTTTACATTTCATGATGAATGCTAGTGTATTTATATATTAATAGTTGGTTGAGAATATGTTTGTATCGGTTTCTTCTTTGTTTGTAGATGAAGGTCATAAGTTAGGAAAAATATTATCAACCTATGAATTTAATGTTGGTATTTTTGGGTTAAGATAAAAGAAAACATAATACAAACCAAAAATACAAAGAAATATATAATGGCTTTATGGTTGTCATCATCTATTTATGTGGGTTAGAACAACAATAAAGTTATAGAATGAAAATGAAGGAACCATTAAATCCCGAGAAGCACAGATTTCGCTTAGAGGATTTACTGGTTCATTCATTCACATTAATTTTCATATTAACACGCTATTGAACATTAATGCTCATTAATCTTTTGTATCTTCATCCGTTCACTCGCTCTAACACCTCTAGGCCAATATATTTTATGGGAGTTAATGGATTTTATTTTGTCTGTCCTGTCGCCTCACCTCAAGTCCTTTGGCCACTCTCTCCCTGTGAAGTCCCAAAGACTGGCACCCACTGAAGTAGCGAAACGTATCACCGAACCGCGTCAGACCAGGGCTCGACTCAAGTCGAGGAAGGACTGGACTCCCAGGGCTCTTGATGATTGGCTCTGAGCGGATCCGCGACAGTTGCCATGGCTTTTCTGGGATTTACAGATGCCAGGAACCCAACAAAATAACACCCTCTTCCAGAAGGGGGATTCACTAAAATACAGGGAAGATCAACATCAAAACCAGGTTTTAGGATCCTTTGCAGCTTTTGTCCCACGCAAACAGTCCAACTGGTCGACCAAACTGCTCGCGAAGTGGCTAATCTCCTTCGCATAGGCTTTGGCGAGGGACTTTCCATTCAGCTTCACTTGTGTATTGCCACAGCCTCAGCGCTGCGAACTCTGCGCTTTCTGTCATCTGCGCAGATTCGAAGCTCCCAATCTGCGCAGATTCGAAGCTCGGCTCCGTGCATTGATTGCCAAAGGTGATGAGCAGTGTTCCCTTGCCCTTCAGCGTCAGCGACAACTCCATCACAGGGCCGCCACTGACAAAGCCCCAATAGGACCTAGGTTAATCCCAACGAATCCGATGATGCACATCCATTGGAGTTGGTGACCATAATCCAATGCATTCCAACACATTCCAACTGATTACTATAGGACTTGAGGCCCTGAAGGAGACTATTAGTAGCGCTCGAACGCTGCTAGTAGCGATGCGCTCCTATGGCCTCCATGTCGGGAAGAACAACGGCACGGATGGTGGCCACGGAGGTCTTTCAAAAGGCAAAGAAGTCTGGTACGACATCGCCGCAAAGCATCTGCCAGCGTGTTCAGAGCATCGGCCCTGCTGAAGCTGAACAACCACTAGAGTCACTAGTCACTGGCCAGCCTTCAAACATGTTTCAACATGTTTCAACAATTCTTGGGGTCATCATGGGTCATCAAGACTCTGTGAAACTTCTGGCCCAACACATGACTCTTGGCCAACAAAAACACACACCACCGCGGCCAAGAGTCCCGGGAGGCACATTCTTGGAATATGTCTTTGGTTTCCAGCTGTGCTCAGTATATTTGCTCCACGACCTCGGGTTTCCCCGCGATGTTTGTGCGATGTGCAAGCGAATCCGGGCGCCAGTCCTTCGAGACACCCCAACAAACGAGTCCATTCATGGCGGAGGTCCGAGTGGGTGGGGTTTCTCTAGGATTCGAACTGCCATTGATATCCTGAGTCCCGGACAACCATTGTTGTACTAAGGACAGACTTTAGAGGACAAAACCAGATCAGTCATTTTAACATGTCTGCGACTTTCAGGGGTTTGACGAGCGCGGCATAGCCTTAGAATCAGCAATAATGTATAATATTAATATTATATATTATATATATGATCATATTGCATCCTCTGAAACAAAGGCTTGGATGCACTTTGGTGCATTTCGTGCACAGAATGCTGCAGGACCCCTCACCACCGACATGAGAGGGACCCCTCATCACCGGAAACCGCCGCCTAAACATGCTTAAACCAGCACTGAAGAAAGAACCCTTTCAGCAAAGTCGCTGTGGATTTTGAATGGGGAAACCCTGCAGGTGGGTCTACCCTAGTTAACAAACCCTGTCCAAATCAGCAAATGTCAACCCTACATGATTTCGAGGTTGAACCAAATCTGCACGCCCGGTGGCCAGCCAGCAGCTTCCATCCTCTTCTTTGAGGTGAAGTCGTTCACGTTCGGCGAAATGCCCCCTAATGCATGTGGACTTGGTCGACATGTGGTTGGTGTGAAGAAAGACACACAAGCAGCAAAGCAGCAACTTGGAACATGCAATCCATTAGTTACGCCCTAAACAGATCGGTTCTTTCCTTTTGAATTGATCACGAACGTGGCACCGACCATTTTGGGACCTTCGCAAAAACAGGCTTCCTGCAACTTCCCCAGAAGATCTCTAGCAGGCAATTAAACATCACCAGAAGCCTTCAAGTAACTCATCCATCAACCAATGTTGCCGTCTACCTCCAGTCCACCCCTATCTGCATGCGCTCAGAATGCTCAAACGTGCTTAGATGTCAACTGTGGTCGCTAGGTGTCCGTGTTTTGTTGAAAGAGTGTAGCCATGTAGTGATATCACTTGGATGTTCATATACTGGATACGACCAGGCATACGACTCTACATATACTGGATATGACCAGGCATATGACCAGGCATACGAACACCACTTGGATGTTCAGATACTAGGGCCTCAAAATGCCTCAAACCCTGACACGACGACCTCTCACTCAAGACCCGAGTACCCAGCAACAGGGTAAGAAGGTTCCGAGCTCTTACGATGCAAAAAACAATGCTTCCAAACACTCGTGCTTTCCAACCGAAGATATTCCTGTGCCCATCTCCCATCCGCAAAATCATGGCAACCCAATGCACGTCAATGGACTCATAAACCTGCCAACCTTCCTGGGGCCCTCAATAGAGCGAGAGCCATAGAGTTTTGAATCTGATGTAGACTCTTGACGAACCCCCCACATCCCCCCACAAGAAATATTAGGATTGTAAAACCTCGGATTGACATATCATCCAAGAGTCTGGTCGTGTATGGCTTGGGTCCGCTCCCCTCGGATTGCTGGGCATGTTTGTTCCCTTCTTTTCGAGTCGCTCCCATCCCCTCATCGGGTCGGTCGAGGAGGAAGAAGGCGCACAGTCCCTGACGACTTGCTGATCCAAGCATCCATCTTTGGTCAAAGCACCACATTGGGGTTCCTCGACGTGACCGTGGTCCGGCGAGTTCGTGTCCCGACTCCGCCGGCAACTCCGCGGAATCCACCGTCGGGTCGGTGGGGGTCGCGTGTGTGGACGGCCCTCCTGCCTAAGCTTGTTGTGCTGAGACCTTCATGGTGGGGAGCCCATGAGTCTGTCCTCTGGGAGTCCAAGACGATATTTTTAAACTGGTCTGACTAGGAAAACGCCCAGTTTAAGGGACATTTTTCGATTGATATTATGGTGTGAAATAGTCTTTGGACTTCTAGGGTGTACAATCGTCAAGGATCAACGGTGTTCGTGGACCACAAACACAACACTCACGCGCTTGTCCAAGCTAGTGGACCAATTCACGTGGGTGCCCAATCGGGCGCAGGTCTTCAACTGGGCAATTCCAAAAGAACGGCTTTTGGTCTGTCTTCCTCTTCCAGAATCTGTTTAAATGCTTTTTGTTTTCTGTTTTTTGCTGGTTTCATACACACCCACCTGAGCAACAGCCTATGGCACTGGGGAGTGGAGTATCGAAGCAACTACACAAGGCATCTGCCCGTATGTTGCAAATCACCGGTACAGTATAACCCCCCAAAGCTACAGCCTCTTCTTTTTCAATGAGCTTCGTTGTCTTCCTCTGTATGGATCACTGTCTGGTCAACTCGTATCTTTGCAGCATCGCCAAGACTGTGCAAGCCTCAGTGCGCATCAAAACACGGTGTCTGTGCCAGTGAAAAGGCGACTGCTGTTCCCCATGCCGAGTGTCTGAGGTCGTAGATGTCACTGGTGGGGATGCAGGTCAGTTCCTCTTCAGTCAAATACTTGTTCAATCTTTTGGCAGCTCTGGCAACTATTTTTGGGGTGAAGCCATGTGAAACCCCTTGCAGAAGGGCGATGGCACATGTTCACTTGATTCATGTCAACAAAAAACCATCGTACTCAGTTGTTTCTGCTTTTGGTACACTTTGGTCCACCCGAAACATCGCGATGTTCGTTCGTGTTCCAGCTACCCCCAGTTAGACGTCACGCCCGTCACGCTGACCCAACTCCTCTTCCTTTGAGGTCAACAACTGGGTTTCGGACTGCACAGGAGTGGCCACACAGTCCACAGAGCGCGTTGCGGTCTAAAAAGCTTCATTGAATCCCGAGCCGCATATGGCTTGAAGAAACACACATCGTACCAGGACAGTGAGCCAACCCAAGCCAACCACATGTTGGAAACAGCAACACCGGAAAAAGCCCTTGAACCTCGCAATCCACGAAGGGAAGATCCCTCCCACGTGCTGCAGGATGGGATTTTGCTGATTCCTTAAAGCATCTTAAAGCCATTTTCTGCGGCTATGCATTCAGCAAATTCCAACTCTCATTATGACCGCACCTACCCTGGCGACGTGGTCGCTCTAACCACACCATGACAGGCGAAGAGGTCGGCCGCCCCATGCCACTAGCGGCGGCGGAACCCGGCACGGGGTCGGATCCTTCCACCGGTTTGGTGGGAGAGTTTCAGGGTCTTTCCACCAAACCCCTGAGAGACTTCCACCAGTTTCACCAGTCTTCAGGGAAGTTTCCACCAGTTTGAAGTCCAAACCCCTGAGAGACTTCCATCAGTTTGAAGTCCAGTTTGAAGTCCTGTTCTCAGTCCGACGAGTTCGATGATCCGAGCTTCGAGCTACTTCCGAGCGACTTCCGCTGCTTCGGTGCCCCAAATGGTCGAACTGGACTTCGGTCTGGGCTGTCAAAGATTCCGTTGCTGCCATCAAGAGAAAGCAACAAACCAAAGCTGGGTAATCCACAAGACAAGTCAAGGACCTGATCAACAGGACAGGAGAATCATGGAGAATCTGAATACAACGTCGGCTGATAACGCCTTGGAACGGCTATTGTCTTCAATGTGAAGAGTCTTCACAGTGAGCAACAATCAGGTTCCCATAGGTTCCCTCATTTCCAACTGAGGATCCATTTCACCCCCCATCCACCATGCGAAGCCCCAGCCGTGGCATGTCGACACCGCCAGCCGCCAGCCTTTCCTCGCTGTTCCCGGCGGTGGGTTGAGACGACGCACCGTTCGACAAAGCCACTCAAAGGGTCACGGGACAGATGTCCCGTGGCTTCCCCCTCCCTTTCAGCTGGCATCTGAGATCTGATGGCGATACGGAGCGCGCAGCGGCCTGATGGTCTTGGGTGGACGCTGGGCCCGAAGTTCACCAATCAGAGTCCTTTGGGGAACAGGATGGGGTCGGTGTGGTAAACGAACGGGGGGGTATCTAAATGGGATTCTATGGGTACTCTCCTGTGATTCATCAATCAAGGATTCTTCCATGCCGTGTGTATGCGGTGATCTGCTTCCCGAACGGTGCTCGTGCTCGAAACGTCTGCGGTGCTTGTTCTCTGGTTTTTCGTTGGGCGGTCCGTCTGGGAGTCCCAAGACTACACCGGTACACCGGTTGGACACGAAGCGTCTGGGACTCGAATCCGCAGATCAATTGATACCAGAAACCTACTCCCGGCCGCAGCTCTCGACTCCCAAAAGAGGTCCTCCAAAGAAATGGTACTATGGAGTACTATGGAGCCAATCCTTTCATCCCCTCTTAAGGCTTGTGTGTTGCCCTCGAAGTCCAGTTCAACTGTATATATATATATATATCCTTTAGTCCCACTGAAGCAGCTCGGAAGTTCCGAATTTCGGGTCACCGAACTCGTCAGATCATTGGTTGAATCGTCAGTCGACTGGACTCCGATCGGGTGTCGCTGATCGAGTGTCAGTCGAGTGCCTGGAACTGATTGCATCGATCTTTGGGATCGACCTCACATGCCTCCACGACACGGCCTCATCCGGTGCCGGAGATCCCGCGGTACGCGGTACGCGGCACCGGAACGCTACGTCGTCGAACTCCCCCCGTTTCGAACGACTTCGCTACGCGGCACCTCTTGAACGTCTCGGGGCGTCGCACCACCTGCAGCGCCGACCTGTGGGAGAATCATCGTAACACCGATCCAGCGGCGGTGAGAGGATCCGCCGGTGACGGAGCAGCGGCCTTGAGCAGCTTTAAGACATGGGACAAATAGGGCCCCTCCGGGAGAGCACCTACTTCCAGGAACTGGCTTGCAACCTGCTGGGATTGAGATTGGGCCGTAACAAATGACATGGTTTTGTAGCTTAACACCGATCTATATACAGTATGTATATGTGTCAAAGGGACTTCCTGCCTTGATGTTCAGTGGAGCAACGTATAGTTAACTTGGACTTCTCTGGGACCAGCCTGAAACTGGCTCGCTGGAGCTTCTCAAGCTTGTGTATGTCAAATACACGTGCATTCCCCACCTGGAACTATGATAAGAAGAAGCAACATCCAATGACTCGGCCTCTTTAGAATACCCCAAATATCACCAGATCAAGGTCTTCTTGGATTGGTCGGTTTCAGGATAGGTCAGCCCAAGTACGACCTCCCAAAGACCTGTTGGAAGAAGAGAAATAGACCCTTGGCTGTTGGGGGTCCCCCTCTAGGAATACACCCCGCCTAGGCTTCCAACCACCATTAATTTAATAGGATAAATCCCGAACCACCATTGTTTTACTAAGGATTTTGTCTGTTCCAATTTTAAATGGTCCAAGGGAAGGCTAACGGGCACCCAATGCCTAACTACTGTGACTCGGATTCCGGGGGGGTTCTGAAACCCCTCTGACACCGCTCTGCTTGTTCAGCCCGCTGAGTGGCCGGAGTTGCTGCAGCACATACCTGGCGAAGGGAGCGAGGCTGAAGGACGCTGCGCTGCGGCCAGGAGACGAGCAACATGTCTCGCGCGCGGGATATCGTCGTCTCCATCTCGACGCCGTCTCCATCTCGTCGCCGTCTCCATTCGCTTCGGAAACGGGGATTGGTGTGGAAACCGGGGTCCTGCAGACTTGCATTCTTGGCAAAAGTATGTCACAACGAATGGAACGAATGTCACAAGACTTTGGGGAGTTCATGTCTGCAGCGTCCATCGAGCGTAGCTGTCCTGACCTGCAAATGAGTGATGATACACAACTCAAGGAAACGAGCTACCACTCGGCTGCACACTCCAAGACTTCTTGTCCTTCCAATACCCAACTCCGGTTGGGTCTATGACCCGATGATGGCTTGCAACCCCCCATCCTTGTCAATCTATTTTCCCGATCCTTCGCAAAGCCTCCAGGGACATCCATGGGTGCGACTCGGGTGCGCTTGGGTCCGACTCGGGTCTGCGCATTCTGCTGCTGGGTGGCCAAAGGAGCAGCGGGATGCACAACACGAGTCCGGCAGCCAGAACTCGCCAAAAGACTCCGTTGATGAGAGTCCCATCAATGTGACACACCTTAGTCCGATCGGCAAAGCAAAGCAGTGGGGGGGAGGTTGGGCAGGGGGAGAGCACTGGCACAGACTTCGCACTGACATGGGGTGGTCCCAAATGCTCCATCAAGTCTAGTGATGTCCGGTCTGAATGGGAGGAAGACGTCTCAAGATGCCTGACACGGACGAGGATTCTGGTGCTTGCTTCGCGTGAAGCATTCTCAGCCCTACAAGCCGTGAGGTGTAGCACAGAACTACAAAGCCACGACAGGAAGGAACTCTTGCACCACACTCTGTGTGAAGAAGAATTTGTCCTGGGAACCCAGTCCCAATGAGAAACACTTCTGCTGTTCAGCTTTTTCCAAGGAGTGGCGAGCTATTCGACCCTTTACATAGCAAGGGGTTGTTGTATGTTGTTTGGGGAGTTCCATCCAGACTTGTTTCTGCTTGGAGACTTGGGAAACCAGGTTCCACTCAAGCTTCTGGCTTCCGTCATTGCCTCGGACGTAAGCTGCCAACTCCCGACAAGCACTGCTGTTCTCATGTATCCAATCTGGTTGATGGGAGACAACCTGCACCGGCTTACAAGGTCAAGTACCCGCTTGAGGGGTACCTTCATGAACATCTGCCTTGAGGCTTCAACATCACTTCAAACATCTCGCAGCTCTTCGTGCAGCCGGCGGCTTCACTGACCCTTCTGCCTTCCACCATTGGAAACAACGTCCCTTTGAACTCAACTCCACGACGGAAAGACACGACGGGTTCTGTTCGTCTCCACATCGCACAGACGCATCGGGAATCGGTACCAAGTCGGTGATTCGGTGGCTCTAAGGATGGCACGGCTTCCAAGTTATACTGCTTGCAGCGAAAGAGGGCCTTCCACATCTTCCAGGAGGCCTGACGCGACGGGGTCTGTTTGTGACTTTTCGTTTTTTCGTTGGACGCGACAAGACCGGACCTGGATCCGAAAATGGGGGGTTCATTTGCACCGTAGTCCGACCACTGGCAAGACTGTTTAAAGCCAAAGAGACCGAGCTGAACCGATGTCGAACTCTGCGAACCCTTCTTTTGGGGATTCTTGAATCTCCTTTCTGCTGCTGAAATGGTCAAGTCTTTGGGCCCAAAGAACACTTGGACACCGTGCCGTTACGCCCGAGTTTCGGGAGGAAGGCCTGAGTTTCTGGGCGTGGCCGTTGGTGCCTTTCAGTCGGTGTTCTTGGCCCCAAACTCGCGGGCCCTCTGCGGGCCCTCTGGGGCTGGTGAGTTTGCAACATTCATATTATCTGCCCTGCCAGGCACCAATTCAGTTGCCAAGCGATCCGGCTAGGAAGAGTTGCTTACTTTCCGGCCGCATGGCAAGGGACTCAGCTTCAGATGCTATGAATCCGATGTACCTGAAGAGGGTATGTTTGCTCGAGCACAGGGTAAACTCGTGTGCGTAAGATTTTCTCAAAACCACAGTAATTTCACATTTTCAACTTTCTTTAGTGACACTTTCTCCACAAAACTCCTGGAACATCGAAGATGATCTGTTCGTCCACTCGCTCAAATTCCAACGCACCGATTCCTGATTTCGCCTCACCACAGCGACTTCTTCGGGCCACGCCGTGGCCGCTTCGGGTGGCGCCCCGCGCGGTCGAGACGAGACGCGTCGAGACGAGACGGCCTGGGCCAGGTAGGGCTTCACACCTGGAATCCGGCGACCCACGGGGAAGGCGACGTCTCGGCTTCTGCCCGTTTGCGACGGCGCGAAAGACGAACGAGGCTCGATCCCTGAACTGCAAGTGGCCAAGCAAGCTGGAATGGACTGCACTGCACATGGTCCTCCCTGAACTACAATCTGCTGGCAAAAAACACCCCAATTTGAGGCAAAGGCCGTAGTGTGGACATGTGTGGAGGTCTGCTTCTTTCAAAACCAACAACCATCACCAGGCAAAAGCCTTCAACTTGAAAAAGGCATTCCCTCTGCCGCCAACGTGTGAAACGACTGGTCGTTGCCGGGTCATCGTCCACTGACTCCTAAAGGGTGAGCGATGTATCATCTCTTCATCTTCAGCGGGGAAGCTAATCCCCAAGAAAGATTCCAGTAAAGGTTATCCGCTAAGTGGGTGCCACCTGCCCATTTTGAAGTGCTACTTCAGCTCCACATCAGTAGGGTTCCTCATGAAGTTTCTTCGTTCCACACCAACGAGTCCCCTGCGTCCGCCGTTCATTCTGCTGTGCTGAACACCCCCGTTCTGCGCACGGCACGCCGACACGTGGGGAAGGCCAGCGTCGTAAGCCGGCGCTGGTGGTTCTAGGAACGTCCTGGTTGGATGTGTCCAAACTCTTGGATTTGCTGAAGGAAGCTGGGAAGAAAAAGCATCTTCCCCATTCTGGGGGATTCACCCAGAGGGCCGCAGGAGAAAAAACAGCAATAACCTGATCTGCCAAACCAGGAACTACGGGTCCAAGCCGCGAACACGCACCAGCTGTGTGTCTTTGGCCGTCCGGCACCTGGGCGGACTTGAGAGACATCTTTTGAAGAATGGGAGCGGGGTGAGATATCTATAGTAGTTTGGGATAGTTTGGGTCTATCCCAGGGCTTTGACCAGGGCTGAATACGTGGCTGATGATGGTTGGGTTGCAGGCAATGGGACAAACACTATATACATATATATATATAAACTATATTATATATAATTTAGTATAATATATAGTTCCTGCAGAACTGGAGTGAACGGGTTTGGGACTCTTACAAGGGGGTTGTTTCAAGGCGACATGTGCTTCGGACGGAACAATGTGACCTGCCCCCTGGGCTGTGCCACCTGTGCCTGACAAAACCCTGGACAAATGGTTCAATCAGCGGCCTTAATCTACTCTGTGTTCTAGCTCCACTTGGTGGTTTCATTTCCCTTTTCTTGGATCCTCCCCTGGCCGATTGCTCGCAAATGCCCTCCACCCCTCGGTCCGTTGTGCCGAGTAGATGGACAGCTGTTCTAGATCATCTCGTAGCTGACCAGAAGTCTCCATGCTCCTGTCCGTTCATCAACATGACCCCGCCCAACTTCTAATCACCTTTTTACCTAACCCGACGATGCGAAGATCATCGAAGATCTACCAAGGGATAAATGGATAAACATCTGTCATTTGGACTGCAAGGGGACAGTATGGTCCTTTAGGGTGGCTCCAAAAAAACCTTCTAGGAAAGGAGATGTGCTGATCACCAAACACCCGCTGCACTGAGACTCAAGACATCAATCTACCGGTGCTTCTTTGGCGGCTTCCCATCGGTAGAGCAAGCAATTTGACGTGGGAAAACCATGGAAAACACACCTCTTCATGGGTCTCCTTGCCAGGTCTCCTCTCGAGGGTTCTTGGACAAGAGGTTTCAATTGGTGACTCGTTGAAGGGTGCTGGTAGAGTTTGATGTCAGAAAGCACGTGTCCCTACAGAGCTGGGATGTCGTCAAACACAAACTGCTGACATCTTCAATGCGCCCATCTTTGGATGCTGCGCAGTCCTCTGTGTGTATTCCGCAAATTCATTCAAGAGAACCTCTTGGACGGCCAGCCCATCCTGAACATCATGGGCGGCTAGAAGGCGGGAAGTGCCCGCCTTCCCTTGCATGAAAACTCGTCACTCCATGAAACAAAACACCAACACAAAGGGCATACTTTAAAGTGTTTGTTTCAAGGAATATGTTTGAAGTTTCTTTCCGTTTGTTGTTTTGCATCGACTTTCGCACCCCTTTCTCTGCCCTCCGTTTTTTCTCAGTTTGTTCCCCGCACGTCCACAGGAAAAATTGTTGAAGAAACTCGAAACGCGACGAACGATGGCGAAGGTCGGCACCTCGAAATTGTAGCTTTCCAGGTGTGGAAGTTTGTACATGTGCTCTGCATCGATGATGGCACACACTCGGTCCACGCCTTAGAGGGATGATATGATGATCTGAGGTAAAAGAAAAGTCATTTGCATGTGTCTGTGCAGTTTTTTTGAAGCATCCCGTACAGAAAGATCTGGCCTGAGTCAGATGGATTTTCTTCAGGTCGGTCCTCTCCTTCTCGGTGAGGCCCATCGGACAGGAAGGGATCCACTTCGGTGTCTGTATGTAAATAAGTCCACAAGAAGCATGTAGATTGTAAACATATAGATTTAGATAATATAAATCCTGCACACACACATGATATTACTACATATATTTATATACAGTACCAAAGGCTCCCGGATACCAGATACCTTCTCAAGGTAGCAGGATTTAGCTCCAAATTCTGCAGACCTACCCTCACAGAGAAAGTTAAAATTTTACGCGCAGCTGCTGCCCCTAAAGTATGCCCTTGAAGCTACAAACAAGAACATTTGCACTGACAGCCACCCTCCGCAATCTCACTTGCACTGCATGGCGCGGTGATTTTCTCCGAAGTACTGCACTGCCACACATGGCGCGGCAGCTCAGTGACCAGCATCGGCATCAAAGTTTTCCAAGTTGCTACTGGCACTGGGGTTGTGCACCGGCGCGCCGTCGGATCCACAGTCCCCCGCGCTGGGGTGTCCCGGCGTCTCGGTCATGACTTGGTGGTGTCTCGGTCATGTTTCGCGGGCGCGTTGGTCATGTTGCGCGGTGTCTCGGTCATGGCTTGGTGTTGGCTCGGTACATCTATTTTGGTCTGATATCGTTTTTTGCAACTCTGGGATTGCACTTCAACATGTTTTGTTTTTGAAAGTTGTGTTCCATATTCCACTTGTGAAGGCTGCAACGGGTCAGCGAACAACCACAAGCTTAATTCTCTTGCCCATTCTTGGTGGATGCTTTGCTCTTGGGGTTGTCAGCCGGGTTAATTAAATGAGACATGAGGGTGTTCTGGATCTCCCAGAATCTCCTCCATCCCACCTCTCCAAGCCCCCCGACGAGCCCGGAGCTGGGCGGCCACAAAGCGGCACCAAAGGAAGTCCATGCCGAAGTCGCTGCCCAGGCCTGTGGACCGGGTCCTCTTCGCCCAGTTCAACGACCTGGACCACCTGGACCCAAAACTGGATGCCACTTACAGCATACATCCCTGAAGCCCGGCCTAATGTAGGTAAATCCAGCCCAATGCAGCGGAACACCCTTGGATTTCATCAGCCCAGGAAAATCCTCAATCTTGCCCAATGCCAGGGATTCACCCTAAGCATACATCACTCTAAGCAAACGCAGCGACCCTCCCGGGCCGCCCTGCCCTGGTGAGGGGGGCGGTCACAAGGTGACTGAAGGTCCATTTGATGAGATCCCACCCAAACACGACCCGTCTGGGACTGGCGGTGCTGACACACCAGGCCAGGGATTCTTGAAAAGGGGTACAAGCTATAGTAGAAAACTATTGTCCCAGGCGCAGGTCGTGTCTGGTCCATTGGTACAGTAAACTTGAGGCCAAGGGGGGGGCGAAAGCTAGCGCTCCAGAATGGGAAAGTGGAGGGCAGCGAGGTAGGAAAAAACACGGCGCTCTTTTTGGAGGCAGGGGTGAAGAGTCCTTTATATGTGGCTCTTTGCCCGGATCCTCCTGCGAGAGAAGAGAGAGAAGAGAGACGGAAAGACGAGAGACAGAGAGGAGAGAGAGAGAGAGAGAGGAGAGAGAGATGAGAGAGATGAGAAAGAGATGAGAGAGATGAGAGAGA